AGTTTGGGAACCACTGCTTTAGAGAGTCTTGTGTGTTATTACAATGTTAAGCATCTGCAAGGTTTTAACTTACAAAAAAAAAAGCCCAAAGTTAGCATTAGAATGATTTTTAACATTGAAAAAAAAAAAGACTATAAAATGAGTGGAAGCCCCCCCCCCAAAAAAATAATTCAGACACATTATAAGCATATTAATAAAAGCAAGGTCTTGGATTTTCTTTTTCTAACAATCACATTCTAGATCCAATGAGCCATTTTAGGAGGGTGCACGCCCATTTGCTCATGGTTGGTATCGAACTGTAAACTTTAGATTCACGGGTCAGGTTCCACAAGACAATTTTTTTTTGGGGGGGGGGAAATCATATGGTACAATTTATTCTCATCCTGGCCTCTCTGAAAAAGCAGCCTTAATTCTGTCTCTTAATGTAAAGCAGAGCAACTAGCAGGAAGAGTAATGTTGGTGGCAACAGTTCCCATGTGCAAGTCTCTCTCTTGCAAGTAACTGGGAGGAAGAGGGACTTCAGGGCACTTTCTTTGGCACGGTCTACAAAGTGCCCACAATTCTGTCCGAGAATCCTAAACATTGCCTGCTTAGACTCTGCTCTCTGGAGCCAAGCCCAGGCTGGACCTTCACCTTGTTTCCCAGCACAGTTGATGTTCTGAAGAAGGGTGGGAGATGTGAATCTGGGCCTTTGACTCACAGTTCATCCAGCCTATCAAATATTCTTCACTCCACCCAAGACACTAAAATGACTCCCCTCACAGAATGCTTCAAACTGTAGCATTTTGCCCAGGGTCTTAAGGTCTGTTTGCACTTGTCTAAAAACACTTCCCTAGGAAGGTTGGAGGTTATATGATCAGATTTGCCTCTCTGTTGACGAAAATGTCTTAAAAAATGGAAACAAGGATCTCTCTTGGAAACCAATAGGAAAGCCTTCCACAAAACCTGTTAGCTTTCAGCATGGCTTACTACACCTACTATGTGGTATCTCCTTAAATCAACTTTGTCATGGAATTCCACACTTTCCTTCTCCCACTATTGTTTTCTGCATTGCTTTGTTTTCTCCTGAGAAGTCTCATCAGGAAATGCTACTGGATACAGGTGTATCCAATACACAATAGTGCACTGTATATTCACCATATTTGATCTACAACAGGTCATTTTCAACAGTGCTCTTTAAACAACTACTTATGCATAATCATCTGAAGCAATAGAGGGACAAGTTATAAATATGCATTTTTGAAATAGGTTGTGTTATGCCACTTTACACTCTCTCTGCAGAAGAAAAGGCACACTTATGTGTAAAGTAAAGGCTAATCTTACCTTAAGTTGGTTAATTGATTTTGGCACCCCCTTTTCCCGCTTAAAATTTCCCAGTTTTAAGCACTAGCAGCTCAAACTGAAACTCAAGTGGGGGGGGGGGGCACACAGATTGCTGTGATTGTGATGGCTCAGGTTGCCAAAGCAATTGAACTTTTCGGTCGGAAAGCTGCTTTACATCATCTTCCATTGCAAGTAGCCAGCTTGCTCTGCCCAATCTCTCTAGGATGAATAATGTGGTGCACGCTGCTTCTGTGCAACTTTGATGGAAGAGGAATCTTAAACACTCTTCCTTTATTCATCAGCAAACATATACTTCAGGCTAACTTGCATCCTTATTCAGTTCCAGGTACCAGAGTGAGAATATATCATTTTAGGCCTTTTAAGACTGAAATTCTGCACATGCTTATTCAGGAGTAAGTTTAATTAAACTCAGGACTTACTCCTGAGTAGACCTTACACAACAAAGTCTCACTGAAACCAAAGCTGTATTTGGCTGTTTGAACTAGTATCTGGCCCATTTGAAATACCCAGTGATACCAAAAGTTTGATTTGTATAATCAAGTTTATAATTCTTTTTTTTTTTTGCACGTCCTACAGAATCAAAGTGACTCTCAGTAGAGAAAAGCAGGAGAGACGGGAGAGAGATCTGATGAATGACATGTATTCTGAACAGAACCCAGATAATAATCTCCAAATCTAACTTTCAGTTCCCTCTTGTATAGATTTCACATTCCTACAAGAGAATACATTCCTACCATACATTCTGTACATGTTACAATCCAGATGTTGTTAGCTTCACAATAAAATAAATATATTTACAAAAGAAAAATAAAATGGAATAAATAACTTATGAAAAACAAAATGGAAAAAAAAATCACTTCAAATTCAAACAGCTCTTTTTAATTCTGCTCTCTTCTTGTCACTTCATTGCACATTTTGTGTCATCAAAAATGTCCCCAGCATTCAAGATGGAATTTGGAGAGTGTGGAAAAGAGGAATTTGTAGTCTGGTAAAATCTAATCCTTTAAGGGAGGAGGTTATATTACAGAGACAGAAATATTTAAATTGGTTTTTCTGTGAGGCCACTCATCATACTTGGGTGTCTAATTCTATGGGGTGGATGCACTATCTGCCACAATCGTACTCATTTGCATCAGAGAATGTTGCAATCAGGACTGGTTTCTGCTCAACATTTCAAATGGCTTTGTTTTTAGGGCAAGGTTAGCATTTGGAAAACCTACTATTCCTCTCTAAAATGGTATTAATTTGAACTTCTGCCCAACATGTGGTACTTGTTTACGTACTCCATTACCTCATCCAAAAAGGAAAGTATTGTTTCTGGATTATGTGTAAAATCAGATTTTGACAATGGTAATGGTAATGACAATGTTGTTTGTTTATTTTTTTTTCCTTGATATTTTAATTTTAATCTAAACCTAGACTGTTCCAGCAAAGGCTTGGGATGCTGCCACTCTGATTAAAACTAAATTGAGTGTTTTCTAGCATTGCACATATCTGCACCCAAGATTATCCCAGTTGGCTAGTAACACATCAGTAACTATCTTATTTCATCTTTTCTACCACATCTGGCTAGTTCTGCAGAGATCTGGACAACCAAATGGTGAAAGCATGTGTGTGTGTGTGTTTTTGCTACAATTTGGTGGTATTTTGGATTTCTGCAGCCCAGATTTGAAAGACCTAATCTTCTCAAATCCACAAATTCCTAATGAAATTGCAATTCAGTATTATTTTATACAATATCAGCCATATTCCTAGTGATTACCAAACTAACAAAAGAGAAGAGATCCTTGTTCAGGGCATTTTGTAATCTAAATCAGTTGTAATAACTTCTAATTAAATTTTTTGAATATGCCAGCTCTCTTTTTCCTTCCCCACAACAGGATAATTGGGGAAAATATGCTTGCTTATAAAGATGAGCAACTTCAAATTATAACTATATTGTTATTTGAATGAAATAAACTTTTCAAAAAAAGATAGCAAAATATGATTAATGTATTAGAATTTAGTTGATAATTTGACATGGCAAATTTAGTATAGGCATGTAGCACTCTAATTACCCAGGTAGTTTGGACACAAATGAAAAAGTTGTGGTGTGTGCATTATATATAATAAATTACATGCATTTTAAATAAATATATATGGCCCATTCTAAAGTGCCAGTTTATAAAGCTGCCATCTTAAAGGCAGGAAAGACCCAATTTTTAAAAAATCCATGACAAGAAGTAAGCAGAACCAACTGAATATTGCCAAATTACATAAACATAATTTAAATTTTCTTAAATAAATATAAACGTTATTCCTAAAGAAGCCATATGCATATCAACAGTATAGTTTGTAACTTGCACTCAATTAAGTACCATTTAAAATTAATATGCCATAGCAATCTCGGCAACAGGCATGAAAACATTGCAAGTTTTCTTTAACACAAATGTACATCACAATGAACAGAGAGAGAAAAATTGCAACAGGTGCAGAAATGAGACGACTTAAGTGGGGAGGAAACATGCATAGAAGATTGCAGTTTCAATACATTGTCAAACAGGCCATATAAAGTATAAAGCAAGGAACAGAGTGGAATCAAGAAACCAACCCCCTCAAAAGATACTAAGTGTTCAAAGCACAACTAGCTCCAGTTTTAAGAGCAATGGATACTTGAGTGAGTCCATCCAGTGCTGATAAGAGATGATTTCACTGCAGTAATACTGAAGTTAGATTTTTTTTTCAGCACTTGCCAACAGAGTGAATAAGAATATTAATGTTCCAAGCAAAGGGCAAGAATCATCATAAGAATGATTAGAAGAAATAAGGTTACATTAGAATTATACTGTTACAGAGACAAAAGGCCTTTTTCCACTCCTGTTCCTAAACTCAGTTTCTTGGAAGGAATCTCCACTGATTTCAATGCAACTTACTTTCAGGCTTTAAACAAAATAAAAATCCAAAATAATTAAACAAAATAATCTGCTATAGACACAACATGCTTCTCCTTAAAACTGGCAAGTGTCTCAATTGTGACGCTCTAAAACTAGATGTCATTACTATGGTAATACCTCAAGACAGAGCAAAGTATACCAAAGCTCACCCATTTGTACTGTTTGAATCTGAACGGGGGCACTCTGTCAACTGTGCACTCTGTCAACTGCACTTACTGAAAAGAAATATATTTCCAGGAACACAACTTTCCCACCAGGAAAGCTGTAAAATATGAGAAGGTTGAGCTCAACAGACTTAAGGACACTCTACTCTGTCAGACGAAGGATGGAATCTGTTTTGCACATTTTAAAAAAGCTTGGTTTGAGGAAATATATTTTTATTTCTTGATCCTTTTGGAGTGAGGGAAGGGAGAACAAGGGAGTTTCATCAGAATAAAGTTTCACAGCTATTTCTTGCCAACTGTTTGACATCAGTGTTGGAATATACATGGCTCTAAGGTTTTTGTTAATCACAGTAGTAGGCAGCAGGGAGTAAATATCTGTGAAACTTTTAAGGGAAGAGCCCTTGGTCTTTTCCTTCAAGCATGGTGTCTGGATTCAGGGAGGCCAGCTGCAGACTGATTTGATCCAAACTTCTCTTTGCACCATTATATGCATATAAAACACTACAAGTCTGTATAAAACTACAAGCAGTTCTTGTACATCAGAAGGTATATGCAGGAATGGGGTGAGCAAATCCTACCAAAATAACTATTTCCTTTTTTGTGTGTATGTGAGTACAAACAGCATTTTGTTTTGTTTCTTTTCCTTTTTTCTAAGAAAAAAACCCAATATCATAAATTGCAGAATCTATACAAAAATATAAAATAAATTTGGGTAGCAGTTTCTAAAGAGCCATGTAAATGCAACATTTAAAGAGGAATCATTAATACCTCTAAAAAGGCTGGATTGCTAAGTCAACCTAGACAGTGCTAAAATGCCAAAAAGGTACAGCAATTATCTAAATAATATTTTAACCTCTTGCAATAAAACTTATAGAAAAAATAGACAAATATGCACATGCAATTTACAGCTTTTTCCCAACATAATCCTTGTGCTTAGCTTTTACATTTTTTTGTCAAACATATTTATGTTTTACAATATGCATTTTCTTCCTATATTAGGATTTCAGGTCTCCCTTGAGGAACCACTTTCAGAAATACATTAAAAGTGGTCATACATGAATGAAGGCACTCCAACTCTGCTTGAAGCAAAAACAAGTATGATCCTTAAAAAAAAAAAAAGACAAGCAAAGACGCATGCACAGTGGTGTGTGTATTTGCGTGCGTGCATATATGTGTGTGTCTATGTGTTTCTTGGTAGGTTTGGAAGGAGAGGGGGGCCTTGTGAAAATACTACCAAGGATTTATACTGGTGCGTTTAAAAAGTTGCTATTGATTTATGACCCAACAAGCACCTCCATAATGTGATCCAGTTCTGTAAGGTCCATTTTGAAAGGCTGATTGGGGGTTACTGGCTGGGTACTGTAGGGTGCCAGAGTTTTGAGGAGGTCATCTGCGGAGACAGGAGCCATTTTTGAGGCAGCCCCTGTAGAGGATGTGCAAGGGTCAAAATCATACATAGACGTATCAATGTCTGCAAAGAGAATATCATCCAGGGTCAAGTCTGTAAGAAAACCTGTAGAAGTTGTGATCTCAAAATTGCCAGGTAATGAGTCCATGAGTTTAGGCTCACTCATTCTGTTTTCCTGTATACCCTCAGGCTTTTGAATGCTGGATTCACTGGAATTCTCTTTAGAGTTATCTGGTGCAGTTGTATCTGCTGCTGCTGTAGTTACTACTGCCTCAGCGGAGGTAGGTGTTGGACAGAGCTCCTCAATTTCATCCAAGGCTGAGGAGAAGCTGTCCTTTACTGGTTGGATCGTTGGAGGTGGTAATTTTGGAGGACCATCTAATGAGATAGTCTGGGAAGTGCAAAAAGTGTCATCCTCAAGCAGAGAGGCAGGGGTGAGGCAAGACTCCAGTGGTGTAGGGCTTGCTAAGTCAGTGGGGTGGACTGGCGGAGAGGCCAGATGGCTAAAGGCAGGCTGAGCTTCTCGAAAGTTGTCTCCAAGAGGATCTGTAGGCTGTGATGGGGTGAGGAACATAGGCCTCAAGCTGCCTTCCTGTTTGAGCTCCTCTTGGATCCGCCTCAACATGTTGTTAATTAAAACAGTCTTTTGCAGGCTCGGCTCTGTTAAGGGCCTGTGGTTATAAAGTTTCATAAGGGAAATGTTGAAGATAGTCTGGCGCTGTAAGGTGTAAGACACCTTAGATGGACCATCGGTAGGAGACACCACTTTGCCTTCCAGCCCATCTTCATGCTCATCAAATTTCCGTTTTCCTCCTTTCCCCAACATATATCTGAAAATAAAAGAAGAGAAATATTGACTAGGATAGAACAATCCATCGGTATTGTAGCCACTCTAGTTCAGTCTATTCAAACCTGAAGCCCTTGTGATGTGTTTAAGATATTTTTCGCTGTGAGCTGTAGTATCAACCTATTGGAGCGAACCAGATATAGGAAGCTGGCTCACAATCATCTTAAGAAGACACAAAGAAAACAAACCCAAGTATTGTCAATCTATTTATCTTGCCTTAAAAAAAAGTCATCCAACTATTTAATCAACCTGTCAATTGCAACCTAATAGTGAACTAGAAACTGAACCAAGACTATAATCTCAGAAAAACTGGTTGATGATATAGATGCAAAAGCATCAGAGTAAGTAATTAACAGAGTAACAGTAATCCTGCACACTGTTTATCTCAGACTAGTCCTAAGACTTCATATTCCAATTCACCAGGAATAGAAAGAACAGGATGTCAATCCAAGAGATTCTTATTCTAACTCATAGCACATTAAAAAAAAAGATCACATGGCCAGACATGGGTAACTCACACTGCATTTCAGATCTTTTTGCCACCAAACAATTTAACAAAAGCAGTAGATCTTTTTCCTGAAAGCCTGTAAGCAGCAAGAAATATAGAGAAGAAGGTGTAAACAGGAGGTCAAAGAAAAACAAAATGTATAAATGCTTTCTTTTTTGGCTTTAGTATAAAGATTCATTATTTTATTAATTTAGATTACAGCCTATACTTGGCTTTTGAAAGATGTATTGAAAGCTGCACTTCAAAACCACGGATAGAGCCAAAAGTAGACTTGGTTTCCCATGAAGATTACTTCCTAACCCAGTTAATAATTGTTCTCTTTAAATTAAATAATATTGAACATTAAAACATCTATTTAGCAACACATTTTGAAGGTGACAATCAGTATTTTCAAGGGCTATTTATAGCTTTAGGGCTCCTTCTCTACCATTTGCTTTAGCCTCGCCTTCCTTAGTACTACATCCTTCCTCTCCCCAATAAATTACCTCAAAGGAATAGAAAAGACACATCCATCCATCCAGGAAGTCCCTAAATACAATGGCAATAACAATAGACTTATATACCACTTTACAGTGCTTTACAGATCTCTCTAAAAGGTTTACAGAATCAGCTTATTGTCCCCAACAATCTGGGCCCCCATTTTACCCATCTTGGAAGGGTGGAAGGCTGAGTTAGCCTTGAGCTGTGAGGATCAAACTCCTGAGCTCCAATGAGTTGAATTAGCCTGCAATACTGCATTTTAATCATTGTGCCACTATAACTCTAATACAATGGCACTCCAACTATTGAATCAGTTAGTGATGTTGCTATATTAATAAATAATTATTAATACATTATTTATTAATAAATAATTGCTAATTCTAAACCAAAGGGACACGGTGGCTCAGTAGCTAAGATGCTGAACTTGTCGATCAGAAAGGTTGGCAGTTTGATGGTTCAAATCCCTAGCACAGTGTAACGGAGTGAGCTCCCCCCGTTACTTGTTCCAGCTTCTGCCAACCTAACAGTTCGAAAGCATGTAAAAATGCAAGTAGAAAAATAGGAACCACCTTTGGTGGGAAGGTAACAGCATTCTGTGCACCTTCAGCATTTAGTCATGCTGGCCACATGACCACAGAGACGTCTTCTGACAGTGCTGGCTTTTGGCTTTGAAACGGAGATGAGCACCACCCCCTGGAGTCAGGAATGACTAGCACATATGTGCGAGGGGAACCTTTACCTTTACCTAATTAAAAAAAACCACACTCCTTGTGACCCTCACAAGAGCAGAAATGCTCAAGAAATTCAAATCTTCAAATGCAAATGAAATATGAGAGTCCATCTGAATTGGTGGTTTTCTTGAATGTCACACGAGAGCAAGAGCAGGAAATGCCTTTCACATTATGGCCACATGTCAGAGCCAGCTACAGTGTGAATGTAAAATAGCCCTGAAGGTTCCAGGCCTGGCCCATTCTGTAGTCCGCCCATCAGTCTTTAACAAATTGCTCATATAAAGTGGAGGAATTTTCCAGCTCTGAGAGTTACAGAGAGAATGCTGGACTGAACCTGGTTTCTATTAAGACAGCTGGAGCTTTTCTGTGATGATTATGGAATGGGGTTTCTTTTTCTAGCCTGGTTCTGCTAAAACTGCCACTGTCCCATGATATCGAAAGAGTCCCTATGCCCCACTCCTGGCCCATGACTTAGGAAGTGAACTACTGGGGAAACTGGCAAGGATGCACTCTGAAACAACAGAACCTCAAAAACAATCCAGGTGAACACCCATCACTGAATTAATTCTAAATATCAGTAGACATGCAGGTTATAACACTAGGAGTTTCTTGGGGATTTTAGATTCTTCATGTTCTTTTGTAGGTAGCCCACAAAAGGGGGACTATGTTTCAGCTTCTTAAAAGTTTACAGAGGAAAGCTGTAAGCTACCAACAGACGAAGAGATAATAAAAAAGATATTAGATTGTGCAGAGATGAATAGGTTGACAATGAAAATAAAGGATAAAGAGGAATCGGAATACTTCATGACATGGGGAAGATTTTATGATTGGCTGGAGAAAGCAAGCTAGAAAAGAAAGAAGGGAGAAGATGGGCAAAAGAAAACACCAACACCAGACTATCCTTCCTGGATATCCTCATCAGCGGAGGAAATGGTGGCAAATTAGAAAGACAAGTCTATCATAAAACCACCCACACTACCCAAGTGATCCACCTCAAAAATGCTATCAGTGACAATGTTATCTAGCCAGGTAATGAACACCTGTATGAAAGCAATCAATCCCAGAAAGCATCAAGGACTCCACAGTTCAACCCTGTGCTATAGACATTCTTTTTCATTCTTTTTAAAAGGTATATAACATGACAACACGCATGATTCTGAATTATTTGGCTACCCGCCTAGCTGAACCCTGAGTTGCTTTCCCATTTCAAATACAGCTGCCTGCTTTATATGTGGTGGAATGTTTCTTAAGCTCCAACTATCACAGCTAGAACCCCAGGGCTGTGAAGTTTTTAAAAACTATCTCAACTGAATAAGGTACCTCAACCTTGGAATTGCAGCTGTAAAAGTTCTCTCTGGAATTATTCCAAAGCAGAAAATACAAGCACGCACAAAGCATTCCTTCAACTGCACACACCCACATGTAGAATAGAAATGAAAATAATTATGAAAATGCTAACCTGATAGCATATAAGAAATACAAAACGTATATTGCAAGTAGAGGGGAAAATAACAAGGATGTTAACTGTAATATTTTTAGCATTGACTTATTAACTTTGTTGAGAACTATCTATAGGCTTCTTTTCAATTAAAAACTCTTCACAAAGAAATTTATAAATTAAGCATGCAAAAAGCTGAATCAATGCAATTGAAGCAACAAATGAAAAATAACGTCCATACCAAATATCTGGGGCCAACACAGACAGAGGTTCTAGGTATAGAACAGATTTTACTGCTCTTATGGAATATGAAAAAAAAAGTTCTCAAGATTCTAACTATCATTTAAGCAAATGTATACAACATAATATTCCTACAATGTTCTTAATATTTCTAGAAATAAAAAATAGTGTCAGTTATAGATTACCCAAAACTTAATCAAATTCTTATTTAGGTCACAGAATGAGCCGCAATTTCAATAATAATAAAATGCTTTCCTTCTCTTCCCCAATGTATTCAGCTACTGCTTCCTTTGTTTGTCTCCTTAATGTTCAACTTCAGGACCATGCTTTAAAGCTGGAGCTGTTTTGCCACCAGCTTTTTGCAAAGTTTGAATTCATTTCTGGAGAAAAAATAAAATGCATGAAGTTGTCTTCCCTCGTGCATTAGAAATGCTATTTATAAGGAGCGAATGGAGTGAGTAAAGATAAGATGCTGGACCCACAATCACAATCCACTTGAGCCAGAGAAGAAATGTTGTAAAATAAGGGCACTTTCTTGTTCTTAAAAGAGGAGAAGTGTTTTATTATAATTTACTCTCTGTCTCCTCACAGGGTCATAGTTAAAATAACAGTATGAGTTTAAAAATGGGCTCAGCTAACTAGCAAAAACAATTGATAGGGAATTTGGTAAGCTGACAGACTGTCAGAGTAAAACTGTTTTTCCATCAACTAGTAAAGCATGGAGGAGGAACAATTCAACCTCATGGGACAATTAATTATGTAATGCAGTCATGACCACTGAGATGGTCCTTTCTTTTATCCCTGTGGAAAATCTGGTTCTGGGGGGCATTTATGGTCTTAATTGTTGTTTATCTGTAAGGATTTTCTCTTGTTCTCCCCCGAGACTTCTCAGTGAGGCAGAGCCACATCTGACAATTATGATGCAGAATATGGACCACATATCAACCATCTGAGGAGAGATGATAGAGGAGGAGAAGGCATCTATTTCCCTATTTTAAATGCACACAAAAGGTCTGACTCCAATGTCTGTTCTAATACCCAAGGATAGTTTTTGGAGAACGAAGTCAATAGCAAGATAGAGAAGACATCGGGGAGGGGGGCTGAAAAATAACTTGTGGGAGGGGAAAGGGCTTGTCACTCTAAGGCCATCAGAAGATCATGAGAACCAGTATAGCATAGTGCTCAGTGACTAATAGGTAAGAGTCCTGAGAAGGCAACTCAAGGAAACGTTCAGTGAGACAGTCATAAAAAGGAGGCACAATTTATTTGGGGAGAGGGGAAACAATGTTGTGTGTGGCATCTAAACTTTGGCTAAAGTATGTATAAGTCAGAAAGTAAAAATGCAGTTGAAGTGCAAGATTCTATACAGAACTGGGAGAGAAACCTGGATGTATCTTTCTGGCACATTACATACGACCAACTTCATTCTTTATGGACATCACATGAGGTTCCTATGTGTGCATCTTTTTGCCTTTTATGTCAGTATCCAAGCAAGAGTACACAAAGATCACATGGCTTTACTTACTTCATTAAATGTCAGTAATTCCAAAATTGAATAAATGAATCTTAATCCCTGAATGTGCCAA